TTGCATCAAAAATTGCAAAAGTACATGTATTCTCTTGAAATTTGGCTGCATTCAATTTCATTGTCTCTAAACATCAGTAAAAGTGCGCTCCTGGTGTTCCCTATAGCAGATTCTATTCAAATTTCAGTACTTTATAATCAGGAACCGATTCCACAAGTAGAGTCTATCAAATATTTGGGCATTATTTATAACGAGAAACTTAACTGGAGCCCTCACATAGACTATATCGTGGCAAAGGCACAACGAGCTTCAGGCTTATTGCGAAGGTTGAGCAACAGAAATATGGGTTACGTAGACACACCTTATTAATGATATATAAAATGTACATGCGCCCAATACTCGAATTTGGGTGTATATTATTTTCGGGTGGCCCTACGTACAAAATTAAACCGTTAGTTCTATTAGAGCGAGAAGCGTTACGGTTGTGTTTGCGACTCCCCAGGTATGTCGCTATTAATGTACTATATCAGGAAGCTCGCATACCAACTATTCTTTGCCGATTCCGTATCTTAACAGTACAAACATACTTGAAATTTTATGGCTTATCAGCGAGACGGTCTGCATATGCCTTTATTAGTGACCCCGACGCCTTCTTCCTCGCTCACTGGCCACGCTTTCGTACTCCCCAGATTATTTTTGTACAAAAGAAACTTGAAAGCATAAAGGTGGATATCAGATCGGTAATTGGAACCAAAGCATTAAATCACAATATTACGATAGAATGTGATGAAATTTTTCCCCCACTATCTAAGTTTCAATCTTCGAGTTACTTAAATGACAGGTTAGAAGACTACATAGCTCATGCGGAAATAAAGAACATAATAGCCACAGACGCTTCTGTGAATAAAGAAAAGGCAGCAGTAGGAATCGTCTCAGATTACCTCGGTTGGTCATTCTCGGTAAGACTACCAGACTTCACTCCGGTTTTCGAAGCTGAGCTCCTGGCTATTATTTTAGCGCTACGAAAACTTCCTTCAAACGAAGAGAGTGCAATGATAATTACTGATTCTCTTTCGCTGTGTACTACTCTCACAGCTTCAGAACAATCAAGAGCTCTAGCGACATTACAAACATTAGTTCCACCTCATGTGAAGTTCCTGAAGTTAGTCTGGGTCCCGGGACACTGTGGCATACGGTTGAATGAAATAGCCGATTCACTATCTCGAGCCACACTTGATGGCCCTGTGATCTCGGTACTACCAGAATCGGAACACATAGTGTCGATCAGATATAGAAAATGGGCTATTTATACGGATATTATGGAAAATATTACTAAATATACGGACTATCAGCACCTAACATACCCCTGGAAACCTCAGTGGAGTCAATCTAAAAAGTTAGAAGTTATTTTAACCAAATTTCGATGCCGTGTCCCTCCATTAAACTTTTACCTGCACAGAGCTGGTCTGGCGATATCCCCCCTGTGTCCATTCTGTGAAGAAACGGAAACAATAGAGCATTACTTTATAACATGTAAAAACTATTCATTAATTAGGAAAAGACTTTTAATTGTTCCTTTTCAAGCAGTAGGTTTAAATTTAACTGCAGATAATGTTCTAAGTTTCGGTGCCTTTAGCTTGGGACATTGCCACAGGAGCGTATTCGATGCTGTATGCAATTTCATTCGAGAATCAAAGCGCATGTCATAATAATGCCTGCTTAAATATATTTCTGACGACACTTGTCTAATTTTGAATGAAATTTGCATATTCATTTGATTGTGACCGGGTGAGATAAGCTCGATTGTCTGGTCTACTCAAAATTTCTGTCTTCCACTGTAGTATTACCTCACCTTTTCTCTTCTTGATTCAATCTTCAATTATTTGTTTAGTTTAATATTCCTTTTTAGTTAATTATTATTTTCTATTACATCATTAGTTTTTTCATTAAGGATAAACCTTTTAATATATCTCATTTAGGATACTTCTAGATTTCATGGCCAATCCCCCATAGTGGGTATGTGCCAGTGCGAAGGGGCAACAACAACAACAACAACAGCTGCTGAGAATCGCTGTGCCAACGTCTATCTGTCTTTTGCTTGCGTTGTACCGCGACAATACTGTTCTGGGCGTCACGCCCAGAATTCTCAGGCCTCGAATTCGACGCACAACTCCTGATTCCACAGTGTCGTGCTGCAGATGGCCGAAGCTATCACCCAGGACGCAGCCGTGGTGTGGTACTTGGGGATCAGTAGGCCACATCATGGAGCGAGAATTAGAAACCAGGGTCGATCTTGCCGTGGTGCGAGTCAACCGCGGCGGCCTGTAGGTGATCGTCGCGGTGCTTGGAATTGTCATCGTAGCGAGCCTCAGCGTCACTGGGTATTCCTTGCACAATTATGCCATGTTGAAGCGCAACGCGGAAGAGTTGCGACAGTATATTGCGTTTCGAACGAATATGTCTGGGCTTGCCGGAAACGACACACCTGCTGCTGGCGATGCTGTAGACCATCTCCGTCGTTCTCTCAAGTCGCTGTCTGGACTTGCCGGAAACGACATGCCAGCTGCTGGCGATGCTGTAGACCATCTGCGTCGTTCTCTCAGGTCGCTGTCTGGGCTTGCCGGAAACGACACGCCAGCTGCTGGCGATGCTGTAGACCATCTCCGTCGTTCTCTCAAGTCGCTGTCTGGGCTCCGGAAACGACACGCCAGCTGCTGGCGATGCCGTAGACAATCTTTGTCGTTCTCTCAAGTTGCTGTCTGGGCTTGCCGGAAACGACACGCCAGCTGCTGGCGATGCTGTAGACCATCTCGTCGTTCTCTCAGGTCGCTGTCTGGGCTTGCCGGAAACGACACTCCAGCTGCTGGCGATGCTGTAGACCATCTCCGTCGTTCTCTCAAGTCGCTGTCTGGGCTTGCCGGAAATGACACGCCAGCTGCTGGCGATGCTGTAGACCATCTCCGTCGTTCTCTCAGGTCGCTGTCTGGGCTTGCCGGAAACGACACACCTGCTGCTGGCGATGCTGTAGACCATCTCCGTCGTTCTCTCAAGTCGCTGTCTGGACTTGCCGGAAACGACATGCCAGCTGCTGGCGATGCTGTAGACCATCTGCGTCGTTCTCTCAGGTCGCTGTCTGGGCTTGCCGGAAACGACACGCCAGCTGCTGGCGATGCTGTAGACCATCTCCGTCGTTCTCTCAAGTCGCTGTCTGGGCTCCGGAAACGACACGCCAGCTGCTGGCGATGCCGTAGACAATCTTTGTCGTTCTCTCAAGTTGCTGTCTGGGCTTGCCGGAAACGACACGCCAGCTGCTGGCGATGCTGTAGACCATCTTCGTCGTTCTCTCAGGTCGCTGTCTGGGCTTGCCGGAAACGACACTCCAGCTGCTGGCGATGCTGTAGACCATCTCCGTCGTTCTCTCAAGTCGCTGTCTGGGCTTGCCGGAAATGACACGCCAGCTGCTGGCGATGCTGTAGACCATCTCCGTCGTTCTCTCAAGTCGCTGTCTGGGCTTGCCGGAAACGACACGCCAGCTGCTGGCGATGCAGTAGACCATCTCCGTCGTTCTCTCAGGTCGCTGTCTGGGCTTGCCGGAAACGACACGCCAGCTGCTGGCGATGCTGTAGACCATCTGCGTCGTTCTCTCAAGTCGCTGTCTGGGCTTGCCGGATACGACACGCCAGCTGCTGGCGATGCTGTAGACCATCTCCGTCGTTCTCTCAAGTCGCTGTCTGGGCTTGCCGGAAATGACACGCCAGCTGCTGGCGATGCTGTAGACCATCTCCGTCGTTCTCTCAAGTCGCTGTCTGGGATTGCCGGAAACGACACACCTGCTGCTGGCGATGCTGTAGACCATCTCCGTCGTTCTCTCAAGTCGCTGTCTGGACTTGCCGGAAACGACATGCCAGCTGCTGGCGATGCTGTAGACCATCTGCGTCGTTCTCTCAGGTCGCTGTCTGGGCTTGCCGGAAACGACACGCCAGCTGCTGGCGATGCTGTAGACCATCTCCGTCGTTCTCTCAAGTCGCTGTCTGGGCTCCGGAAACGACACGCCAGCTGCTGGCGATGCCGTAGACAATCTTTGTCGTTCTCTCAAGTTGCTGTCTGGGCTTGCCGGAAACGACACGCCAGCTGCTGGCGATGCTGTAGACCATCTTCGTCGTTCTCTCAGGTCGCTGTCTGGGCTTGCCGGAAACGACACTCCAGCTGCTGGCGATGCTGTAGACCATCTCCGTCGTTCTCTCAAGTCGCTGTCTGGGCTTGCCGGAAATGACACGCCAGCTGCTGGCGATGCTGTAGACCATCTCCGTCGTTCTCTCAGGTCGCTGTCTGGGCTTGCCGGAAACGACACGCCAGCTGCTGGCGATGCTGCAGACCATCTCCGTCGTTCTCTCAGGTCGCTGTCTGGGCTTGCCGGAAACGACACGCCAGCTGCTGGCGATGCTGTAGACCATCTGCGTCGTTCTCTCAGGTCGCTGTCTGGGCTTGCCGGAAACGACACGCCAGCTGCTGGTGATGCTGTAGACAATCTCCGTCGTTCTCTCAAGTCGCTGTCTGGACTTGCCGGAAACGACACGCCAGCTGCTGGTGATGCTGTAGACCATCTTCGTCGTTCTCTCAGGTCACTGTCTGGGCTTGCCGGAAACGAAACGCCTGTTGCTAGCAGTGCTGTAGACCATCTCCTTCGTTCGCTCAAGTCTCTGGGGACAGAAGCCGCGGTGCCTGGATTGAAACCGGCAACACCGGTGAAAAATAGGCGCACCTTCGTGGTGCAAAGCATTAATGGCACCCTTGTCATGATAGCCAGGCAGCAGGGTGTAGAGGTCGCCACCTTTCAGTCATTTAGTTCGGCTGCCACTAGCCGGTCGCGCCCCTGAGATTCTATATAATCTGCCCCGAATAAAGTGGGAGGCCCCTTTTCGTTAGCTGAGCAGCTGTCGTGCGTATCGTCTCTCTCCGCTCGTGCTCTGCCACGCTGGCGCGGCACCAGCCACAAGACATGGTGTCAGAAGTGGCTGCGTAACGCCCCCTCATCCTGAATTCGCCCGTACCGCACGACGATGGCGCCGAATAAGCTCAGCCTCAACCTCCAGCCGCCCGCACCGTTCGACTTTGTGAACCCGGGAACCTGGCCAGCATGGCTCCGCCGCTACGAGGACTACGCCGTCGTTTCCGGCCTGACTCAAGCATCCGGCGACATGCAGGTAAGCTCGTTGTTCTACTGCATGGGGCCGGAGGCCCGCCCACTTCTGGAGACGTTTTCGCTCGACACCGCATCACTCGCCTCATTTCAAGCGGTTGCCGCTAGCTTCACCGACCACTTCGTGCATCCGGCGAATGAACTGTACGAGTCGTCGCGTTTTCACCGGCTTGTTCAGTTACCCGACGAGAGCGTCGACGCCTACTACGCCGAACTGTGTAGAATGGTGAAGCGGTGCAACTATCCGTCAGCTGAGGTGGAGCAAAGGCTTGTACGCGATAGATTCGTCGTCGGCCTCCACGACTCGCGCCTTTCGAACCAGCTTTGCCGGAACGCGAAATTGACGCTCAAAGAAGCATGGATGCAGGCCCGTCAATCAGAAGACGCTGACAAAGAAAAAACGTTGCCTCAAAACTGCGCAGAGCACTCCCGCGAGCTACACCTCGACGCCGTACGAGATAAGAAGTTCGCCTCTCGCCGCCGCAACTACGATAAGCGGCCTTCGCCCCCGCGGAAAGCAGAGCGCTCCGGCCAGCCGTCAACATGTGAATTCTGCGGCCGCGCGCCACATCCACGTTCTAATTTCCCTGATCGAAACTCCGTCTGCAACTTCTGCAAAAAGAAAGGACACTTTGCGGAAGTGTGCCGCGCGCGGCAGGCAAAACAGAAGCTCGGCTCCATTCAGCTACACGCTGTGTGGACGCCCGCCCCGGCAAAGTTCGTCGACATCACCGTTGACAACTACACAGCGCAGTTCAAGGTCGATTCCGGAGCCGAAGTGTCCGCCGTTCCGAGCGAGTTCCCTGCATTGCCGGCCAAGCTCGACCCCGTCAACAGCCTGCTCACCGGACCTGGCGGTCAGCCGCTGCGCGTGCTGGGTTCGTACATGGCGAGACTTCGGTGGCACCGGAAAATGAGCTCTCAGCGCTTGTACGTGATCCAATCTCTCACCGTACCTCTTCTTGGACTGCCGGCGCTTCAAGCTCTGGAAGTTGTAAAGTTTCTCGACGAACTTCAGACTCCGAAAGCAACATTGCGTGCTGAGCTCTTCCAGGGATTGGGCACCCTCAAGGACGAGTACACTATTCTTCTGAGACCCGACGCCGTACCCTTCTCCCTAAGTGTGCCTCGCAGGATTCCCATCCCGCTACGCGAGGTCGTCCGTCACGAGCTTTACAAACTGGAGGAAGGAGGCGTGATCCGAAGGATCGACAACCCAACCCAGTGGTGCTCTGGTCTCGTTGTAGTACGGAAAGCCGATGGTTCCTACCGGCTGTGCGTTGACTTCACTCAGCTGAACAAGGTTGTCCTTCGGGAACGCCACATCCTACCAACTGTAGAGCAAGTCCTTGGCCTCCTTGGCGACGCAACAGTTTTCTGCAAGCTGGATGCAACAGCCAGTTTTTATCAGGTTAAACTATCCGCAGACTCCCAAGAGCCCACAACGTTCATCACCCCATTTGGCCGATACTGCTTCTGCCGGCCCCCCTTTGGCATCACCTCCGCGCCGGAGTACTTTCAAAAACAGATGGCCAGGATCCTGGAGGGCCAGGAAGGAGTCGCCAATATGATAGACGACATTCTGGTCTTTGGGCGCACCCGCGAGGAGCACGATGCCAGACTGAGCCAGGTGCTGTCTCGCCTTGCAAAAGCAGGCCTCACGTTGAACCAAGACAAGTGTCGTTTTGGTGTCTCCAAAGTCTCCTTCCTAGGAGTCATCGTTTCAGCACAAGGCATCAGGCCAAGTCCAGACAAGGTCGAAGCAATCAAAGCCATGGAGGCTCCAACAGACATCGCGGGTGTCCGGCGATTGCTCGGAATGGTGAACCATCTTGCCCGGTTTTTGCCTTGCACCTCAGTGGTCACAGCTCCCATCAGAGCACTTCTAAACAAGTCTGCGACTTGGGTGTGGCAGCATGAACGAAATGCTGCATTCGAGAAAATCAAGGAACTCCTGACATCAGACCGTTGCATGGCCAAGTACCATCCATCATACGCCACCACAGCTTCGGCTGACGCAAGCTCATTCGGACTGGGCGCAGTCTTGCTGCAGACACAGCCCTCTGGAGAGCGCCGCCCAGTTGCGTTTGCTTCGAGATCAATGACCGAGACGGAGCAGCGTTGCAGCCAGACAGAAAAGTAAGCGTTGGCAACAACATGGGCTATCCAACGGTTCGACGAATTCGTCCGCGGCATCACCTTTGATGTTGAGACAGATCACCTACCACTCGTTTCTCTCTTCGGCAAGATGGAGCTGGACATGCTGCCGCCTCGCATACAGAGGCTCAGGTTAAAGACCATGCGATACCAGTTCCGAATGCTCCACGTGCCAGGAAAGCTGTTAGCTACGGCAGATACCTTGTCACGCATCACCCAAAAGGCGTCCCTCCCCCTGGACACCGTGGAATTGTTTGCAGCTCAAGTGGTCAGCGGCATGTCAGAAGCCTTGCCACTAAGCCCAGAGGACGTGCGACAAGCACAAGAGTCCGATGGCGAATGCAGAGCCCTCACCTCCTTCTGCCAGAATGGTTGGCCACATAAGTCCAAACTGCCACTGCACCTCTCCCAGTATGCCTCAGCAGCAGACGAGCTCTCTGTCTGCGACGGTGTTCTACTGAAAGGCGCCAGGATGGTCATCCCGCATTCTCTTCTGCCGGCTGTTTTGACGCTGTTGCACGAAGGACACCAAGGCATCAACAGGACGAAAGCTCTCGCTCGAGAGTCCATTTGGTGGCCTGGCATTTCGGCAGACATTGCCTCTCTGGTAACTAACTGCGAGCAATGTGCTTCCACTCGGGTGAACCATGCAGAGCCCCTGGTCTCCACAGTCATTCGTGGACGTCCCTGGGAACTTGTCGGCGTGGACCTGTTCCACCTCCGCAGCCAGACATTCATCTTGGTGGTGGACTACTACTCCAGGTACCCTGAAGTTGTAACCTTGCGGAGCACAACGGCTCAGGCAGTCATCGACGTTCTCAAAAGCATCTTTGCCCGGCATGGGATTCCGTGAGAAGTCAGATCAGACAACGGTCCACCGTTCTCTTCACGCGAGTTTGCAGCATTGGCGGCATCTTACGGCTTCGACCACGTCACCAGCAGCCGGCACTATGCGCAATCGAACGGAGAGGCGGAGAGAATGGTCAGGACAATCAAGGAGTTGTTTCGCAAAGCAACAGACCCTCATCTGGCCTTGCTCAGCTACCGGGACACCCCCGGAGTCGATGGCTTCAGCCCGGCCCAGCTCTTGATGGGACGACAACTCCGAACCAAAGTGCCGAAACAAGACTCCCAGTTATGTCCTCACTGGCCGTCGAGGAAAGACGTGAGGAGAAAAGATGCAGCCTACAAGAAGAAACAGGCCGCTGACTTTAACAGGCATCACAGAGCTCAAGATCTGTCATCGCTCCGAACAGGCCAGTGTGTCTGGGTACGACCTGATCAGGTCAAAGCTACAGTGCTTAGCCCAGCACGCCGACCACGAAGTTATGTCGTGGAAACGGAGCAGGGTGGCGTCCTACAGCGCAACCGGCGTCACCTAGTGCCTTTTGCACTTCCTGCGCCAAGGGTGGAACCACCGCCGTCTGAGGAGCAGGAGCCACAGCGAACACTGCCTCCTCTGGAAACCCAGCGAATTACTACAGTGCGACCACACGATTCCCTTGGACTGCCCCCTGCAGACAGTGACCGCAGTGATGGTGTGACACGAACTCGTAGTGGCCGCCATGTTGTGCCTCCGAACCGCCTGAACTTGTGATGTGCAGTGTCTGGCGTCCTCCGTCTTCCGTCTGGTCTTCAAGGGGAGAGATGTAGAGGTCGCCACCCTTCAGTTATTTAGTTCGGCTGCCACTAGCAGGCGGCGCCCCTGAGATTGTATATATTCTGCCCCGAATAAAGTGGGAGGCCCCTTTTCGTTAGCTGACCAGCTGTCGTGCGTATCGTCTCTCTCCGCTCCTGCTCTGCCACGCTGGCGCGGCACCAGCCACAAGACACAGGGGAGACCAACCAACCAGAACCCAGGTGTGAGACGGGGCGCTGGTGGTGAATCACCACCTGCAGTGGCAGCAGTCGCATCCAAGGCTCCGCCTGAGGCCTACGACATCCTGAAGGCCAGTGTGAGTTGGAACGAAACGCATTCCAAGTGAACTGTCGGTGGTGTGACACTTAGTGGCAGACACTGAGACCAGCAGCGCCTCTTCGGTCCTCGAGCAGCATGTGATTTACCTTCAGAAATGATCCGTGTAACTGGAAAGAACTTAGATTAAACAGTACTTGATCGTATGAGTGTGATGGAAGAACTTCTGGCATGAAAGTTATTAGTACCCAGCGCCTTCACCAATATATGTTACGGGGTCGTTGACTTCTTTACAAAACGTGTTACAGAGGAAAAGCCGCATGCAAGAGTCACAATGGCTGATTGGCACCCTCCCGCGTGTCACAGAACGAGCGCTAAACAAGAGCGCGCCGCCAAACCCTTGCGACAACGGGCGGCAGAAACGCCGCAAAGTAAAAAGAAAAAAAAAGAAAGCAAACATCCAGGGCTCCCGGGCGCGCGCTCTCCCTGCAGAAGCACGGCTTCGCAGACGATCCTCCTCACCCCACATCGGCGGCCCAGCAAGGCCGCGATTTTTCTAGAACGAAGGAGGCGGGGTCAGACCGAGTGAATCATCCTCCGGAGAGGGCAGTCGAACCGTCTAGTGCCTCTCCCCAGCCTTCGCTGCGTATCGCGCCGACGAAATGACGAGAAACATCTGGAAAGTCGCGCGCAAGGTATTTAACCGAGCAGCCGAGACGAGAAATGAGGAGGAGACGGAAGTTAGCGCCAGAGCGCGTAGGAATTCCGCCGTGTAGTCGGCGAAGGTTCTGCCCGTAGTGACAGAACAGGAGGAGACGGAAGTGAGCGCCAGAGTGCGTAGAGAGTCCGCCGTGTAGTCGGCGAAGTTTTTGGTCCGTAGGGACGGCTCGAGCTACAGGCAAGAGCGTGGGTTTACCGCTATCGAGCGAAGACGCGGGCAACAGCTGCGTGTGTGAAGCCGACGGATTTCCGGCGAAGAAGTTTGAAGCTTGGAGAGTGGCCATTTGAGGACGCGAGGTTTCCTGGAAGAGAAACTTCGAGAATTACGGAACGACAACAACGCTGGACTTTGAGTGAGTGTTTCTCGGAAAAGTATCATCTCGACTTTGGTTCCAAGAACTTTGGACTGAATAGGTTTTCTATCTCTTTAGTCTTTAAGTGTCTTGGTTGTTCAAAGCATGCGACTGCATTGTAGCTCGTATTGTTGTCCGTGTCCGTTGTTTCAAGTGTGGCTGAGTGTATTGTGTAGTACGTTGATTGATTGGTTTGATTGGTGACATATTGTATGCAACTATTGTGGAGTGTGCATTTTTGTGTATTATTTTCGATCTGCCATTATTGAGAATATAATTTGTTTGTTTATCAACTCTCGGCTCTGACTTGTTCTTTGGGCCACAGCCGGCGTCCGCTGGCGCACCAAAAAGGACCACTTCTAAATTGTCCACGCTTTCGTGGTGCGGTTCGGGGGGCCGATACTTCGGCTCTTGGAATTAGCCCGGCGATCGCCTCCCTAATAAACGGGACAGGTGTGACACCGCGCCTCTCAGCTGATTGTGTCCTTCCTCTTCCTTTACTTCATTTCCGTAACAATAATATCAGTTCATTCTATTCACTCTCGCTCTCATGATATTCGCTGTTGGCACCGCACCGGCTATTCAAACAGCACTTCAGGGGGCGTCGACTCTTCACACACAACAAATACGCTGTGAAGACTTAATGTAACGGTTGCTGCAAGCCTCCTCTAGAGTACAATATGTAGATGTAGACGTATATCATAGATATCAGACTCCCACCCACCATAGGGGATTGGTCAAAAGTTGGTTAGCATAGAAACAAAATATATTGAAAAACTTGAAAAGAGAATTTCTCACTTTGTACTGATATAAGGTTTTTTTTCACGTTCTCAGTCTTCCACGGTACCTTGGGCTACTCTGAGTCCTTGTCTCACTGGCCTTTACCTCGTCGCAATATCCAGACCTACGTAAATATATATTACCATCATCCATGGCCGTATCGTTGCGCTAGTAGCAATATATATATATATTATATATATATATATATATATATATATATATATATATATATTTATTTTCGAAAGTCATTCTGTTTACCTCACTCTCAATGCACAAGTAGTTCGGCTCATCGCCACGTCCCGTAGGCTGCGGCTGTCAGCTCACCCGAGCCTCCATTACGGAAAGTTGAGGAAGATTGGTCGGGTAATTCATGCAAGCGACGTTTTTTCGCATGAGACCACATTAGGGATAACAGATGGCTCTTGTCACAGGTGTCAGTGTCCTCACATGTTTTAGTTGTGTAAGTTGATACAGTGTAACCTCCAGCTTTGCTGGCACTCGCCCACAAAGGGGGATCGGCCAAGAACCGGGCGACAGGATCATCAAGTGTGCTAAGTCAGCCATTCAGGTAGTCTCGTAGCCGTAAATAATAACAATAGATTAACAAGGTGATCTTTTTGTTGCCATTATGTGCTCGCACACAGCAGAGAAAACCTCCCTATGGCTATAACCTAAAGTAATTGCTCCGAATGATAAAATTACTTCCACGTTTATTTTCAAGTCTAGCTTCTCAATTGGTTCGACCAGGTATCTTTTCCTTTGATGAGAATATCGTTGACAGGATAAAAAGAAATGATCTATTGATTCTGATTCCTTGCAAAAGAGACACAACGGAGATGCTGTTAATCCAGCTTTATGTAGGTAGTAAAACAGATGCGGAATTCTGCATCGTAATCTGGTGATTGTAATTTCTAACTGCCGAGATACGCACCACGGTTTGTTCCAGCAAAATATTAGATGTACGATGTCTCTGACTTGACCCAATGGTAATTTTTCTATTTCTGTGTGCAAACAAGCATTTATATGACGTACAACCGCGGCAATTGTTATATATTTACGCGTGTGTACTGGTGGACAAAAAGAACGATTAGAGAATTTGGCGGACACGAGGTAGTGGAGCTGTGACTGGTCGAGAAAGAAGATGATCGTGCTGTTCGGCTGCTGAGAATCGCTGTGCCAACGTCTATCTGTCTTTTGTTTGCGTTGTACCGCGACAATATTGTTCTGGGTGTCACGCCCAGAATTCTCAGGCCTCGAATTCGACGCCCAACTCCCGATTCCACAGTGTCGTGCTGCAGATGGCCGAAGCTGTCACTCAGGACGCAGCCGTGGTGTGGTACTTGGGGATCAGCAGGCCACATCATGGAGCGAGAACTGGAAACCAGGGTCGATCTTCCAGTGGTCCGAGTCAACCGTGGCGGCCTGTACGTGATCGTCGTGGTGCTTGGAATTGTCATCATAGCGAGCCTCAGCGTCACTGGGTATTCCTTTCACAATTATGCCATGTTGAAGCGCAACGCGGAAGAGTTGCGACAGTACATTGCGTCTCGAACGAATATGTCTGGGCTTGCCGGAAACGACACGACAGCCGCTGGCGATGCTGTAGACCATCTCCGGCGTTCTCTCAAGTCGCTGTCTGGGCTTGCCGGAAACGACACGCCAGCTGCTGGCGATGCTGTAGATCATCTGCGTCGTTCTCTAAGGTCGCTGTCTGGGCTTGCCGGATACGACACGCCAGCTACTGGCGATGCTGTAGACCAGCTCCGTCGTTCTCTCAAGTCGCTGTCTGGGCTTGCCGGAAACGACACGCCAGCTGCTGGCGATGCTGTAGATCATCTGCGTCGTTCTCTAAGGTCGCTGTCTGGGCTTGCCGGAAACGACACGCCTGCTGCTAGCAGTGCTGTAGACCATCTCCTTCGTTCGCTCAAGTCGCTGGGGACAGAAGCCGCGGTGCCTGGATTGAAACCAGCAACACCGGTGAAAAATGGGCGCACCTTCGTGGTGCAAAGCATTAACGGCACCCTTGTCATGATAGCCAGGCAGCAGGGGAGACCAACCAACCAGAACCCAGGTGCGAGTCGGAGCGCTGGCGGTGAATCACCACCTGCAGTGGCAGCAGTCACATCCAAGGCTCCGCCAGAGGCCTACGACATCCTGGAGGCCAGTGTGAGTTGGAACGAAACGCATTCCAAGTGAACTGGCGGTTGTTTGACACTTAGTGCAGACACTGAGACCAGCAGCGCCTCTTCGGTCCTCGAGAAGCATGTGAATTACCTTCAGAAACGATCCGTGTAACTGGACAGAACTTAGATTAAACAGTACTTGATCGTATGAGTGTGATGGAAGAACTTCTGGCATGAAAGTTATAAGTACCCAGCGCCTTCACCAATATATGTTACGGAGTCGGTGACTTCTTTACAAAACGCTTTTACAGAGGAAAAGCCGCATGCAAGAGTCACAATGGCTGATTGCCACCGTCGCGCGCCTCTCAGCTGATTGTGTCCTTCCTCTTCCTTTACTTCATTTCCGTAACAATAATATCAGTTCATTCTATTCACTCTCGCTCTCATGATATTCGCTGTTGGCACCGGCTATTCAAACAGCACATGAGGCGACGTCGACTCTTCACACACAACAAATACTATGTGAAGACAATGTAACGGTTGCTGCCAGCCTGTTCTAGAGTACAATATGTAGATGTAGACGTAGATCATAGATTTCAGACTCCCACCCACCCTAGGGAATCGGTCAAAATGGTGAGCATAGAAACAAAATATATTGAAAAACTTGAAAAGAGAATTTCTCACTTTGTATTGATATAAGGTTTTG